AAAGCAAAATTGCTGGGTTTTTGAAAGCCATTGCGTCTGCTATAGCTATTCTCTGCTTCTGTCCCCTGAGAGTTGCAATCCTCTCTCTCCGACCTATGATTTCAAATAAATACTTCACTTCTATTTGTTTAATATTATTGTATGTCTACCAATGTTTTCTCCCAAAATATTTACTCACATTCCATTTGATTCTTTACAAAACACTGAAACAGAAATCGAAAATTTAAATGTTTATAAGAAGGATAGCATTGAACAAAGAACCAAGTGTTCTTTCCAGTTCTGAAAGACAACTTAACAATCAAACAATGCATGAATTGTTCTCTACTCATCCAGGATAATTGTGAGAATCTCGAGGCTTAACCAAACGTAAATTGTCCTTCACTTTGAAGTAGGCTACAAAAAGGGATGCATCTCTTTCTCAAACTTTGTTTAGTCAGAAATTTCATTCTATGTCACACTCAGACAAAATATTCCAGTAAACTAACTTAACATTATGCATAAGTAGATGCTTGTGCAACCATTTGTCCCTACTCTCCCGTTAATTATCATCCTTTAGATCCTCCATGGCAATATTAGAGTCCGAGTCCCATAAAATCTCCAGTAATTGTTTATTTTTGTGGGGTTCATTCTTATTATTATTGATTTGGTCAACCCAACATGCTCTTTATTTTCTATTTGTTTTTAACTGTGTTCTCTCTCTCTCTCTCTCTCTCCTGGTCTTCCTGCCCATCCTGCTAAGCTCACAAGTCATTGTTTCTCCAGGTTTTTATTTATATCTGCACATGCATTGTTGACTGAAACCATGTTAACTTTTTAAATGCAGGACCATACACCTCCCTACATTGACTTTAAAAAGTTAGGTTTGTTTGTTGACCAAATAAGCCATTTATTGATTGAGTATTTCACCTTCCAGGCAAGTACTGACTAAATCCATAGGAAAATATATCCATATTAACTACAAGGGGCCATTGGTAGATGCAATGGTAAAAACCTGAGCAATGAAGTGTAAGAACTAAGAATACAAGCTCGAGTTTGAGAGTGAAGATTCATTTTCAAAGGCTTAGAAAGATCAGATAATCTGTCAAGACTCAAGACAGCTTAATTTTGTTGTGAACAAGATTTAAAGGGAAGATGCTTACCAATAATCTTACGTTAATGCCTTATGTTATCTAACCTGAGTATCATAGCCATCAGGAAGCTTGACAATGAATGAATGGGCATTGGCAACTCTTGCAGCTTCTTCGACCTGAATTAGACTTGCATCGGATCGACCCAAGAGTATGTTTTCCTTAATCGTGGTAGCAAACAGAGCTGGTTCTTGGCTGACAAGCCCAATTTGCTGCCTCAGCCACCTCAGCTTTACTGTCTTTATGTCATGCCCATCCAGCAGAACTTGTCCTGCACAGCAACTATTTATTAACAGAGATTTTCATTCGGTCACACATTTCGTCGGACATAATGACTCCATGAACTCAGAACCAGAAATAACTTCAACCGGCAGAGATGTACATTGAAATTTTGTTTAACAAAATGGGTAAAGCAAAGTTGGGAAATTATTACGAAATCACTGTGTAGTAATTACCTGAAGTGGTATCGTAAAATCTCTCAATGAGGGAAACTACAGTGCTCTTGCCGGAACCACTGCTTCCAACCAGAGCTATCGTCTTCCCGGCTGGGACAGTTAAGCAGAAATTGTTGAGTATTTGGATTTCTGGCCTTGATGGGTATGAGAAATCCACATTTTTCAGCTCTACCTGTCCTGTAACAGAGTCTAATTCCAGACCCAATTCACTGTTTCTATCAACACCTGGTTTGTGATCGATTATTCGGAAAATTTTAGCGGCCGCAACTCTGGCCTTTGCAAATGCAGCCATGCTTGGAGCAGACTGTCCTAAAGCCCTGCAATTCAATAAGAACATTTGAGCAAAAATTTCAATTGGGGATATAGAATGTGGGAGATATGGGGAAGAGAGGACTTACAAGCCGCCAATCATAACAGAGAACATTGTGGCTATGGCAAGTCCTCCATTGGTGAAGTGGTGCCTAACCAGATAACCCCCATACCAAAGCAGAAGTGCGTAACCACAGAACACAATGAAGTATGTTGCCCCAAGTCCCATTCCCTTGGCGAAACCACTCTTGTAGCCCAGCCTCTGAGAAACCTTCAATGCTGCGGAGTATGCTTGTAATGCTCTTGACTCACCAACAAACGCTGTAACGGTCCGGATTTGGACAATTGTCTGCAATTCAGCTCAAAATCAGTAATACCCACATGGAAAAACAGATATAAATTGATATGAACTGGGTGAATTCAATCCCCAATAAACCCAATGAAGATGACACAATTTATTGAAAAGTTCACTTCTCTCACCTGTTCTACAACGTTTCCTGCTTGTGAAAGAGCTTCCTGGCTCTTGGCAGTTAGCTTGGCTAATGTGGAGGTGTAGATGGCTGCAATTACAGCTATGAGAGGAACAACGCCCAGAGTGGCCAGGGCTAATTGCCACACAGCAGTGAAACCAACCACAAATCCAGACACAAATGTTGCCATATAGTGTATGAAATTGCCCAACTGTAGAACACATAAAATAGTCCAATTCAGATTCTAGTATTAAGATATCACTACCAAAATTAAAGACGACCCCAAAATAAAATAATCGGGATAGAGGCTTAGATGAGTTGATTTTTATCTTCACCTTCTCGCTAATGGCGTCTTGGACCATCACTGCATCGGTATTAATGGCAAAAACCACATCCGATGTTCGAACCACTGTGTCAAAGTATTGAATATCTTGGTTCAAGGCTGCTTCTAAGTACTTAATTCTCATTTTGGTAGATTGCCTCTCTCCAGTCCACATCCAACAAGATATCTCTGTAACCAATTCAAGCTTTTACCAATTTCAATCACATAATTTAAGAACAGAAACCAAATGAAAGATACTAATATTAAACCCACCTGCCCATGAAGATGCCCATATTGCAGCTCCAACTACGAGAAAGTAAAATGCATACTACAAAACCACCAAGAAAAGAATGTTACTTTTTCTTGAAAGAATATTATCAAGAGCCTAAAGTTTTGGAATTGTATATTACCTTCAAAACTTCTTGTGCCATCTTATCAACGTTGTTGGCATTAGCCCCAAAGGAATTAACAAGATCAGCGAAAAATCGGAGAAACAACGGCAATGAACAACCATGTATAAAGGCACCAACTGTTCCAATTGCCATCAAAACATAGTCCAGTTTATCTGCAAATCTGAAAAGCTCACCAAACCCAGCTGTGGGAATCGCTGAACCAGGCTTCTCTCCATGCCCACCATCTTTCTTTCCCTCAGAAACCTCCATTTCTCTTCTCTCTCCTCCTCTGTTCTCACTCTCTGCACTAAATTCTTTGTCCACAAACACTTGGGCTTCTCTCTCTTCTATGTCTGTTATTATTGATGGTGTAGTTGGTTCTGTTGTTGGTGTTGGTATGGGTGTTGTTGTTGGTGATGCGTTGTCTTTAAAAGAGTTGTCTGAGGGAGCTGACACAAGTTCAAGACCTTGCATTTCAGACCATCTCCACTGCTCAATCGTCTTTATCTCCTTAGAATCTTGTAACATTGCTTTACAATTACAAACAAACCCACCACCTCCCTCTTTATTATTCTCTCTCTTAGACTTTGGAGCTCAGTTTTTCTTGCTACTTTATTTTCTCTCTTTGTAATTTACACTCATTGCTTCACCACCCCCCAGACAGGAAAACAACTGTTTGGGTTAAATGTTATTTACAAGTTGGGTGGTTTCTTCGGTTGCTTCTTCTGTACAACACGCACACACCCAGAGAGATTGACTGGTGATGAGATGACGAGCACAGGAGAGAGAGAGAGAGAGAGCTTTGGGCCCCGACAAAGAATACTACGTGAAAACTTGAGATTGGGTTTTTGACCATTCTGGCTTAACCGGTGGAATTATGAAATCCTTAACCACCACGCCTGATAGTCCTTTCGAAAACGAACCTTGGACTATTCGACTATAAAGAACTGTAGGTGTTGGCTTGTTCTATAAGCACAAATGGTTAAAGGTTGCAGAGTTGCTACTTCATGTTCCAACTATACCTCTTTCTCCATCTAATCTATCTATTTCTTGATTTCATTTCTTTTATAATTTTTTCTATTTGCATAATATACAGATATTTATATCCTTAGACATATGCAGTGTCCATAAATACACAGTAATATTTGTGTTTGTTGACCGAGGAATTGATTGTAATCTAATAATTATTTTTTTCTACTGTATTGACTTTACTGTAAAATAGAGTGAAAATATCATTTAACCTGGTGGGATTGCAATAAAACTGAGTTGTTTGAAATCCATTCTTAATTTTTGTTGTCATGAATTAACCTCATGAGAATCTTGTAATATAACTCAAAAAGATTATTACTTGATTAATGTTAGGGGTAGAAATTGCGCGTTTGGATCTCATCCCTGAATACAAAAGATTCTGGCTGGCCTGCACCATTTCCTAAGGCAATACAGTAGCATTTACTTCCATCCCATATCGGGTAAGAGTCGTCTCCCCCCTGCCATATAAGTGAACACTTCCTATTTCAAGTAAAAGGATGAGATCCGTAGTGATTTCTATCCCTTACAATTAACACAAAGTAGTTTGCAAATGAATACCCATTTGAATTCCACTAATCATTATGGAAAAACAGCTTGGATCTAATCAAATCTCCACTACACTTTGTCTCAATCCTCTTCACTTCTGGCCAAATTTTTGCAATTTTCCCGAACAATCCCTATACTTTCCATCAAGCTTAATGGAAACTCCTTATTCAACCATCAATTTAGGTATAAAAAACCATTTCCTAGACATGTACGTTTTTTGCCAGAAAAATTATCACTAAATCTATAGATTCCTCTGGGTTTATCTCTTTACAGAAAATGGACAGCAAATTAAAATTTTTAGTACGGTTTTGTTCTTTTTTAGAGTTCAGAGGACGATTTTGTGGAGTTAAATAAACTAATTATGCTAAAATAGGTTGTCTTATTTGGAGTTTTGTGGTATGTGTCAAAAGTAAATTACTTTAATCACGCCTTTGGAGTTGGAAAAACAAAAATAAAAAATCAGTGAGTCAGCTCTTTTTCAGCTACACCGGAGTAAAGTAAACTGAGATCTGACTTAGTGCAAATTCTTTTAAGTTGCAGACAGAATAAGATTAAAATTTAGTATTTAATGAAGGTAGTCCCCTGTTTTCAGTACTCTCTCTGCACCTCCTCCACAACAAAGGTTTCTTTTTGCTTCCACCACCCCATGCCCATTTGTCTTGGTCATGTAAAACCTAGAGGGTTATTTCTATTCATCAACCTCAAATGGCGAAGCTCCATCGGTTACTTTCTCAAAGTCCCGAGTTTAAGTATCGCAGAAGACACTCAGAATGAGTGCAATTTGTGAATTACTATGTCTATCCCCAGTTAACGTTGTAGTTACCAGTCAAAAAAATACGTGATTAAAAATCATTATCCACGAACCCATGACACTGGCAACCTTAAAATCCTCCCTTGAAAATATGTACAAGGTGCAGTGACTTTAGATAAGAGATGACCTAGTTCAGAAGTTAGGGCCCACTGTGATTTAAATGTAACAGAAGAGACTCGTTCAAAACAACTCTCTCCAGTAGGCTGAACACATGAAGGTAACCAATAATTTGGAAACAGGTAAAAATACTCAGAAAGTTGTACCTGACCCAGCACTCTTTTGGTTTCTTCCATTGTTGTCACATATAAAGACCTGCATGTACTCAATTGTTGTGGCCCCTCTATCAGTAGGACCTCAATATACAAGCCAAGTTATAAAGGGGGTAAACATACATTTGCGTAAATTACAATTTACACATTTATTTTCCCCCAAGATTTAATTGATATAATTACGTTTTTAAAGTTTTAATTGAATTTCAATCCAATTCTTCTATTCAGACCTATTAATTTGTTCTGATAGAAAGATGTCACAGAATTTATCCATAAGAGTATATTTGTCCAGCAAAAAATATCTCAAATATAATAATATATCTCTATTTGTCTCACAATATCTCTCAAATTCTCATGATATTGTTTTGGGTTTGTTATCTTTTTCTTTTCTCAAAATCAGATGAAATAAAGTAAGATTTTTTAGCCTGCACATAATAGATTTTTCATCAGACAAATATATATTTTTATCCAAGTCATGTGCTAGTCACAAAAAATTCTTATGCCACAATAAATTTGATGAATTTTGATGTAAGAATTAAATTGAAACTCAATTAAAATTATAAGGATTTGATCGTTGCAATTGAAACTTCAAGGACCAAATAAAAATTAGGTGCATACTTTAAAAATACAAATTATAATTTAATATATCTTCAAATATAAAATCATCATCATCATTTATGATCCATGACTTGCTTGGTTAGAGCACTAACTACTTTAAATGAGTTCATTCCTGTTGCTTCAAAATTTGCTAGGATCAACAGAGATATTTCAATCGACAGACTGTTTTTAGGCGACTATTTGTAAGGGGTTCGAATGCCTTATTTTAGGATTTCCTTTGATGAAAAAAACAATGAAAGATGATTTATTTATTAACTCAATCAAAAGGACTTCGGTTATAGAAAGACTGAGTAAACAACATTGATTACAACACTAACTGTCTTCTAAATCTAATTTAAAACTGCTTCAAATAATTGCGTCCTTTGGGGGTTTGAGTGTATCATTTATCTTCTCCATTACATGTCTTTTTATAGTTATTGCTTTCGACGGTTGTGCTCCTGTCGATAGCTATTGATTGGTAACTTCCACTAATTATTTATTTCTTTTCAAATATGATTTTGACTGATCATCTTTCATCCTTCTTTAGATTCTAGCACTTTCTAAATGAGCTTGGGATGCTAAATGTTTATACACTGAATATTCGTAGAATTTAATATTTTATGTCCAGACAATGCCCCCTCATTTAATTGAGTGATAACTCAGATAAATGAACAGTTATAACTGTTTAGCTTCTGCACACCTATTTAAAGGTTTCGATTGCTGCGTTGGTCACTCGAACTTACCTTCGTACTTCTTATCGTCGCCTTTTCTTTGCCTTTGACAATCTTTTTATCTCTTGTTCTTGGTTTTTTGATTCTTTCTAATGGCATCTAAACAAAAAATGGACCATTCCTCTTCTTCTATTCCTTCTCTAAATGTTTCTTTCCTTCCTCGTTTTCGTACTAGTCTTTGGTATGCCATTGGGGATTTAATTGATGAAAACATTTTGATCATTTCTCTGGATTCTAGCTCAAATTTTGTATTGGGCCCTGCCTTTAAATCAGATATTTTTTCAGGCCTACTTAAGCATTATCCTATTCCCAAGGGAAAATTTTGATGCTCCATTGTCCTCAACTTCGGTGGGAATCTTGGGAACAAGGGCTTTCTCCTTTGAAATTTTGGGTTGATCCAGACCAACAATGATCTAACTGGGTAAAATGAATGGAGACGCATTTCTCCAACCAATGGAGAGAACATAAAATCTATGAACAAATAAAGCTCTCAACAAGCCCACTGTTTATGAATCGTTGGCTCATAGGTGCAACCATCTATTTTTTGTTACAATCTTGCAATGACATGCTACTTCCTTTTGGCATAATGGCTCTATCTATCCTTAATGTTGTGCATTTGACAGGGCTTTCATCGACTGGGATAGAGGTAACTGCATGTCTAAAACCTAAACATGTTTTGTCAAATCGTCTAGATAACTTCAACTATTCATTCCACACTACCTTCTTTTGCAAGCCAAACTCTACCCCTCATTCTTTTGAAGAACAAGTGGTTTTCCTCCTTCACTGGCTTTGTCTCTTTGTCCTTTGCATCCCTAGTCTCAAGATTACTATGAAGTATTCCAATATTGCTGGTTTTTTGGTCGATCAAAAAGTTATGGCCTAGCTCCTTTTGTTTTAGGAGCTCTTTATAAAGACATTTTCAACATAGCCGAAAGAGTAATTGATAGCAATTGTGGAGGACCTTTTTGGTTATTCTAGGCATGGCTATATGCCTACTTCCCTAAAACTTAGTTCATCGAATATCTTCCCCTTCCTAAATTTAAACCTATCAATTATCTCTTTTCTTGTCTTTTTCTGAATGTCTCTACTCATCTTTACGTCTTAGAGCATTTTTTTTACAGCTCCATCAATCCCACTGAAGAGCAAGCTGATTATTTTGACACATTTTGGGGCAATGTTCTCCTTCTTTACCACCTCCATGAAAGCGGCGCAATTTATGATTTCAAGTACTCCAAATATAGTTTTTGAGAATTACTCTCCTAGTCAGATAGCTAGACAACTTGGCTTTACTCAGAGAGTTTCCAATGCCTTTTATGCATTATTTCATCCATGAGCCTACAACTCAAAGGCTCAAATTTAGAGACCCTTATCTTGTTCATTTGATCTCTTTGGCCTCTAATA